AAAGTTGGCTGTCGTTTGACCTGAACATTTGAAAAGAAATTCCAAAGAATCGGCGAAAAAAGGCCGATGCCGATGCTCAATTTTGTGTCGATACTAGCCGATGCCGATTAATCGGTCAGACCCTACTTGGTTATAAGCGTAGAAATATAAACTTATAATACATGTTCAAAAGAAAGCTTTTTATAAGTGTATAAATGTAAGCTTATAATAAACGTTCAAAAAAAGATGTTTATAAGCGTATGAATATAAACTTACTAAAAATTTTCAAAAGAAAGCGTTATAAACGTTTTCATAACCCTTTATTTAAACGATATTTCATTAACTACTCATACATAGATCGCTTAACATCTACCCGCCCTTATTGTAGAACACTTTATTTAACATATGTATATAGTAACATCCAAATATTTTCTAACAAATGTGATATAGGAATTAAAAGGAATGCGAATTTTCTGCGGACTCATCTGCAGTCGGGAAAATATAAATGGGGCTATTTTTGGCTACTTAAAAAATATAATAATAATAATAATAGATTAGCGCTTACACATACGTTAGTGTTTGGCCGCGCTTCTCCTCCGATTTGTGGCGTGCGCCTTGATGTTGTCACATAAAGGCAGGGACCTCCAGTTTTACGCCGACTCCGAGCGGTGATTGCATTTTTATGAGAAGCTGTTTTTTATGATTGAAATACACACGGAGGTTTGCCATTGCCTGCCGACGGACGACCGTTATTAAGAAAAAAAAAATATATATAATATATATAAACATATAAATTTATTATAACACACAAACATTAAGCATAAAAAAGATAATTAATATTTATTGGTGCGCACAGCAGCTTTCAATCACATGTGGTATTTGCAAATGGAAAAACCGACTTCGATGATCAGGGTGTCCAGATTGTTTAAAAAAATAAGAGCCATTTCCGAAAAAATCGCCAGAAACCGCCAATATTTTTTATAAAATTCATGAAATCGGCTTAAAAAGTCTTTTATTTAAAGAATGAGATCTTGTTATAACATAGTTTTTAAAATCAAGAACGACTATAATAAATAACACAATTCACTTGTATGATAGTGATGTACAAGGTTTTTTTTTTTACATTCATACCTTTCAAAAATATTTGTATTGACATATTTCCCAATGGGTCTGCGCAATTAATGAATTTATTATACCTCATATTATTGATTAATCGCACAATCCGCTTTTATGCGCTCGGCGCTAAAAATAAAATAAAAGCTACAAAAGGCCGAGATCAGGGCTCAAATCGTCACATACGATATTGTATTACTCGTCACGTAAAAACACATTTTTCGGATTATGACATACGTGAACGCTTATACGACTGACGTAAAACGTAATTTTCTTTCGTATGGTTTCCGATCCGTGAACGGATGTTACGATTCGAGCCCAGCTATTTCCACAAATAAAATTGCAAATTTCACATTCAGCGGGAGTTGTTACAAACGGTGGTTTAATATTGGCAAACGCTCGATATGCTAGAGCTGGAAAACTATTGCTGGTTTGCCTTTTATTGCCACTATCGACACCATCGATAGTGTCCTTTTAGGTTGTTACTATCGATAGTTGAAGCCGCCATCGATATGCTTTATGACTATCGATAGTTTCTTCTCTATTTCCACTACTTTATCATTCAAATTTTAAATTTATTGGTGAAAAACAAGTATGTAAATAAAGCGAAAAAGTTCATATAAAAGTGCAACTCTAAACTTAATTACCCATTAAAAACGAAACGTTACTTTCGATACCGCCGATGGTGCAAAACTTAAACTTTCGAAACTATCGAGTGGCAACACTATCGATAGTTTTTCAGCTCTACGATATGCTACCACAAAATCAATAACAATAAAAAGAGTTGTCACATCAAAATTAAAGCTCTAACTCCATAACCTACTTATCTGGGGTTTCGAGGCCTTTACATAATAGCGCACAAAAAATTTACTTGAAGGGAAAAAATCGCCAAAAATCGCTATTGTCAACAAAGTACAGAGCCGCAACAAGGTCCTCAAGTCGCTAGGCGGCACTACTTGGGGCAAAGACAAAGAAACGTTGCTGGCAAAATGCAAGGCAATAGCCGGCCGGTTTTAAATTACGCAGCACCAGTGTGGTCGCCGGGGCCTAGTTAATAGAAAATCAAGTTAATTTTTTTCTATGGATACGTTTTCGAGATATTTGCAGTTTACCGTTATTCAGCTTAAAGCAATTTTTTTTCCTTTTAATCACGTATATCTTACGAACCAATTTCAAAATCTTAATATAAAATACGGCTAATGAAAGCCAATGAAATTCTCCATAAAGCGTATATTCATCACTTTCCGATAGGGCTTACAGTTTCTGACAAACTAATTAATCATTCCGGGTTTTTTTTATTTTTTAATTAAAAAATAAAAAAAATCTAACTTTAACAGAAGAAAAATTTAAAAAATAACAGGTTCTGTTCCAAATTTTTGCATTTGTACTAAAGCCTATTCTGATACAAAAAAAAATCAAGTTACTGATGAAGAAAATCGATATATAAATACGAAATAATGAGTGGTCAAATGAAAATGCGCAAAGATTTTTTGTATGAAATACGAGTTGTTACCGAGCGTGTTACTCGGGTGTACGTGGCGTATGAGTAACTTTCTTTCCTGCTCATTTTTCATACAATAAATCTTTGCGCATTTTCATTTGACCACTCATTATTTCGTATTTATCCATAGATTTTCTTCTTCAGTAACTTCATTGGTTTTTTGTAACAGAACAGGCTTTAGTACAAATGCAAAAATTTGGCACAGAACCTGTTAAATTTTAAATATTTCTTCAGTTAAAGTTTGATTTGTTTCATTTTTTCATAAGAAAATAAAAAAAGCTTTAATGATTAATTAATTTGTCAGAAACTATAAGCCCTATCGGTCAGTGATGTACAGGGAACGGATTTTTAGGACCTAAAAACCTATAAAAAAGGCAAAATAAAATAACGAAATAGGCTGGAAAAGGCAAAATAAAATAGCGAAAAAGGCAGGAAAAGGCACTAGGTATTGCAAAAAAGGCAAAAATAGGCAAAACAAAATAGCGAAAAAGGCAGGAAAAGGCACTAGGTCTTGCAAAAAAAGTAAAATAAGACAATAAAAAAGACAGAAAATACGAAGAACAATCAAAAAATACATTTATTTTAGGAATGTTTATATTACAAGTAAATTGAGAAAAACTATGAACTAGTTTCATTATAAGAAAAATTTGTACTTTGAATCTTTGACTATTTTATCCTTTCGAGTTTCTAACTCATAAAACTTTAATCTGTATATTTGTAGTAACGTTGAACCACAAGATGCATTTTAAAGTTTTCTGGCAGCATTTTCATTCGATTTTCGCGAAGAAAAGCCTTGAATGTACTAAATGTGCGCTCGAAGTAAGTTGATAAAACGGAAGCTCAATTTAAATAAGGAACGTTTGAAACGTTCATATTATCAGGAATAAGGGCGTTTTCATCGCCCTTTACAATTTTATCCACACCCCTTATTATCTCCAAGCTTACGTTAGCCGCATGGGCTTTTTTAAAGGTAGAAAAGGCAAAAAAAAGCAAATATTTTAAAAAGACAAAAAAAGGCAAATATCTTAAAAAAGGCAAAAAAAGGCAACATCAAATGTGTATATATGGAATCAGGGAAAGCTAAATCGTGGACATTCTTAATCGAATATACTCTATCTCTTTAGCAGAAAAAAAGGCCATTTCCATAAAATCCGTTCCCTGGTGATGTATATACGGTTTGTGGAGAATGTCATTGGCTTTCATTAGCCGTACTTTATATTAAGATTTTTAAATTGGTTCATAAGATATACGTGGTTAAAAGGAACCAATTTTTACTTTAAGCTGAATAACGGTAAATTGCGAATATCTGGAAAACGTATCCATAGAAACAAAATTAACTCGAATTTCGGTATCACCGAGCAATTCTACATAGAAATTGGATAGTGGCGTCTGGATAACAAAAACCAAATTAAAATTTGTGTTCCAGTGTAATTATAATTAAAATATATTTGAAAGAACGTAGACACGTCATTTATAATTGAAAAAATTTTAAATTTACAATTTCGTGTCGTTGGCATTTGCATTTAATTTTTAAGTGTAAGTAATTTATTAAAGGTTTATTTGAAAAAAACTTTAAATATACCTAATATTAAAAACGCTTATATAACGCAAACTTACCTTAAGTTATTTTTAAAAACAATTACTGAAATACCTGTTGGGACGTGATGCTGAAAACTCATTTTTAAAATATTGGTAAACAGGAAAAAAGAGTCATAATAAAGTAAACATCTCGTGTAAAAATTTTAGGTTTCTGACAGCTGCCAGTTGCCGCGCACCGGGCCGAATACAGTTCTCAAGAAAAATCAGAAGAAATAATTTCTGTTGATATTTGACCAGAAATTTAATTTATTAGCTTATGGAAGTCTTAGCCAGCATAATTATATTGCCTTATAAAAATCTATAATAATAATACGATAATTACACAGGCCTGCGATATTTAAATTTTTTTGTTCTTTTTGTGAATATCTGGGTATGTTAAATTAAGATGCATCTTTGGTTTTTTGCTAGCACGCTGAGATTTTTTTTTATGGATGACATGCATATTTAAGGATTTTTAGCAATTCGCACGAAAAGCCAAAAATTAATTAATATAGAATTGAATTTTTATTTAAAACCAACACATATGTTATTTCGAAGTTAACTCTGACAAAATTGATAAGTCATTTTCTTAGCGTTACCGCGCATTACTAGCGTTAGGAAATAAAAAATTTTGCAATCCCACGCTACTCACAGCTGATGAAAGAACACCACCTTATATGAATTCGCCTTGGTTACATTTCATTCCGACACCGAATTTGTCATAATGCTGTTATTATTTGAATATATTTATGATAATAAATATTTATGTATATACTATTAACAAAAACTTTCTCGCTTGTATGAAAAAAAAACATCTATCCTTTTACAGATTATAAGAATCTGGCGTCTGCAATTGCCCCTGGTGTTAATCGGCGCAAAAGAACTAAGTGGGCTAACAAGTTCACTGCATTGACATTACGCGACTACCATCTTCAAACAAGCAAAGTAGAATCCAAAATACATTTCCTAATTGCCCAACAAATTAATTGGAACGAAGGTGATGCCTACGAAAATGAAGTCGGAGCATATTCATTAATCAGTGGTGAGCTAGAAGAAGCAGCCAATACAGTGATAAATAGGGTTGAAACGAAAGAAAAATGCAATATGGAGGAGTTTTATGTAAAAAGTCTTTTTGAAGTTGGGTGCGCACAGGCGGGATGTTTGCTAAAAGACTGGCATGTATTACAAGGACGCGATAAGTCCCCTGAAGGGAGAGTAAAAAACCAGGCTGTAAATGCTGACAGACAAATGAATCAAATTTATATGAAGTTGGAAGATGATTTTGGATTAAAAGAAAAATCAAAACCAAGTCCACACAAAAATGACACATTACAAAATGAAAGGAAAAACGGAACAAGTGAAGTTGATATCAAATGCAGTTCTACATTAAATCCTGCGACCTTTTGTCCTGCGCACATTAATAATGATGAACAACTAGTCAGCCTTAGCTCAGAAATCTCTGAAAGCTATATAAAAAATGAAAAATTACTTAAACACAACATTGAGTACCATTCATGTAATGAACCTTCAGAACGCTTAAACGCAAATTCGGATGAGTCTTGCATTGGAATAGAATTATTTAAACATATTTCTGAGGAATGTGAGTTGAATCCCAGCAGCACATTACAAAATGATTCTGAGAATTTCCACGGGACTTCCAATAGAACTCGTAACTTATCTCCAAATATATTTGCTAGCTCCGACGATGAGTGTGAAGACGTTTCTAGTAAAAATCCGGGCACAGGTAGTCACCAACAGGAATTTAACGTTCAAAATGAAGGTAAATATCGTTAATTTTATAATTTTGAGATGTGCTTAAAGATGTTCTCTAACTCTCTGTCTTCCGTACTAAAAGTAAATCCAAATTTAAAAAATACGAGATTTCTTGGTATTGGAAAAAGTCATGAAAGACGGTAGTCTCATTGTAAAGTCCGACCGATTAATCGGCCGTTGACCGGAGTATAGGCCAAAAGAGTCGGCATCGGCCGATTTCGGCCGATTCTTGAATGAGGTTATGTTGTTTAGTTATTTGATAATGTTCTTCTTTTGTTATTATTGTTATGTTTATAAAAGCATTTGTTCTTAAAATGAATTTAATTCAGGATTTAATCGGCCGAAGCCTCGGCCGGTTCTTTGCCGATTAAATCCTGAACTACCTAACTATTAAGCAGTTTTGACATTTCATGCTACCATACCCAATCCCCATAGTTACGGTGACTATATTTAGGAGAGCCGAATTCGGGACAAAAAATTAATTGGAAATTTTTTCCACACTGTTTTCCTTGAAACAGTATCCTTATCACAAATTTGTAGGATAATTTTCTCGAGATTTTTATCCCGTAAAATTTAAAAAAAAAATCGGTTTTAGTATAATAAAGTGCAATTTTTAGTCGGTAGGGCCTTCCACTAATTTTTGGCATTTTTTTTTTTGTTGACGGAGTTACGCATTTGTTCATACAAAGTAAGTATGTTCGACCATTATTTTTTGAAAGAGAGCAAATGCGCAGTACTTTCCACTCGCTTTTTATTATACTCAATTTTAATGAGTTACAGAACTGCAAGCCAAATTTTTTCTAAAGATTCTAATTAAAAAATTTATGCGAAACGTTGCAGAATTAATTTTCATAGTTTTTTGCACACAGTTGGAAATTTGGTATTGTATGGTTTTTGTTAGGAAAAGAGCTTTACTTCCATAAAATAAATAATAAACATTAAATAAACTAAGGAAAAATAGCCAAAACTTACTAAAGTGGCAGAGTCCTAATTTCTATTTTGGCCACTGTATGTATTACTCGATTCGAATCACAGGCATTCTGATTAGAAAATAATAACTGTTTATAAACAAAATTACGATCATATACCAACATCATTTAAAATTCGTTCATAGGCATGCCATTTTAATGAGCTGTTAAGGCGTCGGAACACCGAATACGGGACAAATACAGGACAATAAAATAAATACAGAACATAACAATTACCAGGACAATGGGTCAAAAAAGAGGACTGTCCCGTATAATACAGGACGGATGGTCACCGTACCCATAGTGGAATTATATCAGTAGTGCGATTCACTACGCTATTTTAACAACACTTGTTATGGTTAAGCCAGCCAAACGACAATTGTATAAATTTAGCTATATAGTAAACGCTTCCTTAACAACATTCGTTACCGCAAAATTAGCTGTTGTCGTTAACGATAACAAAGGCTGTTTATTTGCCGACCTCTATAACATAAAAAGTACGTTCTACATTCTTTTCGTATAGAAAAAAATGCACAGCACCGCTAGCAGAAAAAATATCAAAAATCAAAGGATTTTTCAGACCCATCAA